ACACACACAAACAAACACACACACACACACACTGCTGCCTGAGTGTAAGTGTTTGATGTGGTGAGATCATAACAACATCTGCTCTAATGACACACATCAGAGTCCTCACACATTTAAACAATACGAGACGATAAGACTGAGAGGCTTTTAGGATTTTGATAATTTTTTTGAAAATACTTTCATTTTTTTATTTGTTTAATTTAATATCAGATGTGAAGTATCATTCAGATTTAATATAGAATCGAATAAAATTTGTGTTATTTTGTAGAAACGAAGGAAATGTATAATTATTTTGTGTCTTTTTAAAAATATGAAATTGAAATCAAACAATTAACCAAACTATATTTAATAATGATTAATAATTGTTTTACAAAAAAGTGAATAATAAATGTAAATGTAAAAAACTATTAATAGTAAAATATGTAATATTAAAATATAACAACAACAATAATACAAATAACACTATATTAATAACAATAATAACAGAATTATTATAATAAAGTTATTATTATTATTATTATTATTATTATTAATATTATTATTAATAATAATAATAATAAAATGTAATAATAATAATAATAATAATATAATAAAATAACTATAATGATAATAATAAAGTAATAATAATAATAATAATAGTAATATTAATAATAAAGGAATATAATAATAATACAATAATATTAATAAAATAAATACAATGATAATAAAATAATAATAATAATAATAATAATAATAATAATAACAATAATATTAATAATAAACAAACTTTAATAATAATAACAAAATAATAATAATAACAGTAATTATAAAATAAGTATAATAAATTAATTATAATAATAATATTAATAATAATAATAATAATAATAATAATAATAATAATAATAATAATAATAATAAACACATGCAAAAAACACTACAATGCAGGTAAATATATAAGTAAAGCAGTATTCATGTACTGACTGACGTGTTGTGTGTCTGTGTGTGTCAGGCTCAGCGTTCGTGATGGTGAACTCATCAGGGCGTTTCGCGGGTCAGAAGGCTCGCCTCTTCACGCCGCAGCTGACGGAGAACGACACACACTGCGTGCTGTTCCAGTATTATGCGGCGGGTCGAGCCGCCCAGCTGAACGTCTACATCCGCGAGAACAGCAGTCCAGCGGGGAAACCAGTGTGGAGCAACCCTGGAGCCGCTGCACGCTCCTGGAACTCAGTGGAGCTCGCCGTCAGCACATACTGGCCAAACTACTATCAGGTTGGGGGCCCACACACACCCATATATACACACAAACACACACACACACACACATACACATATACACTCACCGGCCACTTTATTAGGTACACCTGTCCAACTGCTTGTTAACGCAAATTTGTAATCAGCCAATCACAGGGCAGCAGCTCACTGCATTTCGGCATGCAGACATGGTCAAGAGGATCTGCTGCAGGTCAGAGCGAGCATCAGAATGGGGAAGAAAGGGGATTTAAGAGACTTTGATCGTGGCATGGTTGTTGCTGCCAGACGGGCTGCTCTGAGTATTTCAGAAACTGCTGATCTACTGGGATTTTCACGCACAACCATCACTAGGCTTTACAGAGAATGCTCCGACAAAGAGGAAATATCCAGTGAGCGGCAGTTCTGTGGGCGCAAATGCCTTGTTGATGAGGCCAGAGGTCAGAGGAGAATGGCCAGACTGGTTCCAGCTGATAGAAAGGCAACAGTAACTCAAATAAGCACTCGTTACAACCAGTAGTCGTTAGTACCAATTGAGCATGGTGTCAACGCCACAGCCTACCTGAGTATTGCTGCTGACCATGTCCATCCCTTTATGAGCACAGTGTCTCCATCTTCTGATGGCTACTTCCAGCAGGATAACGCAGCATGTCATAAAGCTCAATCATCTCAGACTGGTTTCTTGAACATGACGATGAGTTCACTGTACTCAAATGGCCTCCACAGTCACCAGAGCTCAATCCAATAGAGCAGCTTTGGGATGTGGTGGAACGGGAGATTGGCATCATGGATGTGCAGCCGACAAATCTGCAGCAACTGTGTGATGCTATCATGACAATATGGAGCAAAATCTCTGAGGAATATTTCCAGCAGCTTGCTGAATCTGAAGGATTAAGGCAGTTCTGAAGGTGAAAGGGGTCCGACCCGGTACTAGTCAGGTGTACCTAATAAAGTGGCCGGTGACTATATATGTAAATATATTCACATGCAAAACACATATACACACACAAATACACACACACACACACACACACACACACATATACAGTGATATAGTGATATGCATGTGAGTGTATATGTGATGCAGTGATGTGTGTGTGTGTGTGTGTGTGTGTGTGTGTGTGTGTGTGTGTGTGTGTGTGTGTGTGTGTGACCTCTGCTCGTCTCCTCGCTCTCCTCTAATGGAGTAATTTGGCTCTGGTACGGCGGGTCACAGGGCCTCGTTACTCCAATTAACACGGGGCTCCATCAGACCCGTGAGGACGCACACTAATAACAGCACGTGTGTGTAATAGCAGGACGTGTGTGTGCATGTGTGTAATAACACACACGTGTGTAAACAGCACATGTGGAGTTGGATGAGACATTCAGTTGCTCTAACAGGAGCAGATCATCATTATTCACACCTCAGCCTGACGGAGAGATGCCCAGAGAGGAGATAACATCTGAATTGGTCCATACACACACACACACACAC